CAGGTGGCAAGCCATTGTCCCTGCCTCATGGGAAGCCTGCCCGCTGGGACTGTCTCAAGCAGGAAAGAGAGACATTAGGGTCAACCTGGTATGCAGCCCCTAAACCCAGGAACCTTTCCCCTGCACTGGGAAGGTCATCTCTGCCGTAGTCCTGCTGCCAGCAAGGCCCGTCTCCACCATCAGTCCCAGAGGGCAGGGGCTTCAGCTGAGAGGGGCTGAGGTGCATCAGGGCTGGGCTGCCCAAGAAAGCCACACTGGGGTCACAGGGAGCAGGGCTTCCAAGAGGTCAGGCATAGTGCAGCCTCCCCCAGCATCTTCTCCATATTGGCCTAGAGTAAGGGGGCAGAGGGGGCACTGCCATCACCAGCACTAAACTAGAAGTTCCAGCGGGAAGGAACCAGATTCCTTTCCCCACCATTGTGTCTCCAGGCCTAGCCAACTAACTGGCACATGGTAGAAGCACAATCAATGTGAAATCAGTAACATCGGGCCACTGGGCCGTCAAACCCTGGCTGCCTCCAAGTGCCGGAGGAATCCCACCAGCCTTGAAGACAGAGAGGTCCTTGGGCTTGGCATCGAGCAACTCTGTGGTCTGAGGCTAGTCTCCCAACCCATCTGGCTGCAAACACAGGCACCAAACAATGGCGCCTGCCCCAGGCTGGCCAAAGACAAGGAGATCAGCTATGCAAGTATGGGACCTTGTGTTCACCGAGCCATGCCATAGCTTCCCGTGAATACCCCATGGGCACCAGGGTTTTCATCTGTGAGGTCTGGGGAAGAGCGTATCATCTGTCACACACCGTGAGTAAGCCGTGCCCCACAGGCAGCTGAAACCACTGTGTACTTCCCCTCCATCATGAATGAATCTTTATTATCTTTATGACCAAGGACCTTTGCCTGGAAATAGGATTCTGACTTCACAGAAATTCTGCAAAGGGAGCGATCAGGAAAAGGCGGGAGCCCCCTAAATCCCTCTGCCAGGAAAACAGCAGGGTCGGGCAAAGGGGCCAGACCAGGAGAACGCCTCTCTCCTTGAGCCCACCACGCAGGGATGGTGAGAGGCAAGATGCCACCACGTTAGGTCTGCCCAGGTTTGGGCACCTCTCTTGCCAGGGTGTGAGTCCCTTGGGACTGTGCCCTGTGTTAGCCCACTTGTCCATGACTCTTATAATTGTTTCTCCTCCCCCACTTTTCCAGCAGTCTGAGTCCTCACTCCCTTTGTCTTCAGATTAGCAGGCCTACTAATCGCCACCAAACCACACACTCACCCTCTCTATTCCATCTACACAGCCCCTTCTGAGCTCTGCAGGAAGAAACCAAAAGCTACTCTAGGAGAAAGCAGTTGGTGGTATCTAACAGTGATGGAAAACTGAAGTCAACACAATCCTTATTTAAAGATTCATTGAGCACGTTCTACGTACCAAGTTCTAGGCTTACAAAGAAAACACCAAATATAGTTCGTTTCCTCAAGGTTCTCATGGGACAAGCGGTCGGAGCATGTTGGTCAACGTGGAAAGGGTCAGACTGGAAGCTCAGGCTCAGTCTCTGCCAAATGTTAAAGGAAAAGGAGGAATCGGCCCAAGTGCAGAAGGTACCTCCACCCAGAGGGGAGCGAACACACCAAGACCCCTGCCTGGGGAACATTTTGGAGACAGCCTGGACCTCCATGTGGCTGCAGCATGAGGTGTCAGTGGGGCAGTGACAGCTGATGACGCTGAGATGGAGCAGGGAGCCTTAGAAACACACTCACTGAGAGGTGTAGGTCATCCCAGAGGCAGAGGGAAACTCCTGGAGATGAAGAAAGCCAAAGGGAAATGTGGTGGCTGGCTGAACTGCCTGAAGACAAGCAGTTTTTTGGAATGTACCTTACACAGGAGACACAGAGCTCTCCAAAACGTAAAGCCGTTCAAGGCCACATCCATCCCCTAGCAGCCAAGCCGCAGCAGCCCAGCTCTGCCCTCCTCTCCCTCCCCAGACTCCCCAGGGCTCTCAGAATAATTATAGCTGATATGCACTGAGCACTTAATAGTGCAAGGCACTACTGTGAGCGTTTGGTACGCATTAGCTCATGTAGTCCTCACAACTACTGGATAAGCTAGGTACTATGATCAGCCCATTTTACAAGTAAGGAAACCGAGGCTCAGCTGGGGAAGTGAGTTGCCCAAAGTCATTACAGCTACCAGGTGGTGGAGTCCCCTGAATCAGTACGCAGGGAGCCCATCCCACCTGGCCACTACATGCCCTGACCTTCCCCATGTCAGGGCCCTGGGCATACCTGCTGACCTTGTCTCTCCTCTCTGCTCTTCAAATCATCTCTATCCTCTTGGGCCCACCCTAAGCTCCCTGCCAGTCATGCCGCCCTTGTTGCTGGCCCCCTGCAGAGCCCAGGCTCACTTGCTGTTGACACTGGGACTTACTTGTTTCAAGAGGTATGAGTCTCTCTAATCAGACCGGTATTCCCGGAGCTCCAGGGCTGTTTCCTCCTCCTTATCTCTCTCTTCAAACTACCTCCTCCCCCTCAAAATGGATTACCACAGTCTCATAGGATCACAATCACACCCACCTCTTTCTTATGGCTCCCATCACTTGGGGGGCGGGTGGGGGGGCTGTCCCAGTCTCTTGCCTCACCTGTCTCCCTGCAGGATTCACCCAGCACGTGTGTCTTCCCAGCACTTCGCCCCGTGCCTGGCAAAAGCAGGCACTCATTGAGGGTTTGTGGGATGGATGAATGAACTTGACTGTGTCAGAGCATCATAATTTACAAAGCACTTTCTCATCCATTAACTCAAGGGCTATTCCTTGTGAGTCTTCCTTGTCTTTCACGGGGCTCAGCATAGAAGTGTATGATCAATGGATGAGAAAAAGAATGGACTCCTGATTACAGAGAGAAGAGAATCCATTCCATTAGCCCACAAGCACCTTGAGGGCACAGACTGGGTCTTATTCATCATTATAGTTCAATGCCCAGCACAATGCCTGCTACATAGAGCCCAATTTCTGTGAAATGTTTTGAATACATCAATTTCCCCCTCTGCAGAAGTGAAAAGACTTCCTCCTTACTACTGCCATAATAGAATCCAAAGGGACGGTTGAACTGAATTGCTTCCATTTCTAGCACACTTTGACGGGCAGAACCTTTACTTGTTTTTTCAATCTCAGGTCTTTGATGGGAAAAGGTTATTATGCCTATTTTGCAGATAGCAAAACTGAATCCCCGAGAGGCTGGGTGTCCTCCCCAAATCTCACTTAGTCCCCCGGCATCTGTGGGGGAGAGAGGTGATGGCGCAGATTGAAGACACAGTGGCAAAGGCAGTGAAGTGCCTATTGGCTCCCCGAGAAACAAAGGGACCAGGTCTCTGTCCTAGACTCCCAAGCTGCCTGGTGTCAACGTCACCATCTCTCCTTCCTTTCCGACTCCTTATCTTCAGTCGTGAGGGCAGGGACCAAAGCCCACTGCCCCTGAGTCCTTAGAGGTGACAATCTAAGTGCCACCTAAGCTGGTTTTCAGGTGTCTTCAGCACCCCACTGCCTGTCTGGGGTTAGAGTGCAAAACCTTCCATCCTTCATAGAGGTAGCCCTGGTTCGGCCAAACCACCCACACCCATGCTAACAAAGCCAAGAGCGCAGTTCACCTCAATCACCTCCTCTTCTCACCCCTGGGGAGAGGTCAGAGACCCACACTTAGAGGTGGGGGGTGGGCACATTTTAGACTCTGCTGGGCCATCGGGAAGTGGACCTAACTCCTGAAAACTTTTCTGGAAATTCTCCCCTGCTGGATTTGTTCCCCCCCCCCAGGTCTAATTCCAGACTGTGATGCAAATTCTCCTGGGTCCCCCATTAGGTCCCCTAGCCCCAGCTCCTGAGCCTGCATCCCCACCGCCCCCTCTGGTTTCCAGGGCTTAGGGGGGAATCGCACCAAACTCCACTCCACCTACGAGAACCCGGGGCGCCCTCTAGCGGACACAGGGCGCGGGGTGCGGCCAGAGCTTGCCCTTCAGTCAGTCCCGCCGCGTTAAGAGCACCTGGCCGGACCCACGCCACACCACGCGGGTTTGGAGACCCAGATGTGTGAACGCGGTTGTTGTTTGTTTGATTTTGTTTTTTTGGGAGTGGGAGGTGGGACCTCTGTCAGCGTCGGCAGAGAACCTGGCAGTGGGCCGATGGGCTGAGGCCGGACAGCCGCCACGCAGGCTGCGTCCCCTCCACCCCGGGACTCGGGCTTCGCCTCGGGGACATGCTCACAGGTGACTGTCACGCGCCGCCACCCCTGCCAGCTCCTAGGTCCAGCCCCAGTTTCACGGCCCGGCTCTGGGGTGTCCCCAGTTGCCTCGCGGCAGGCCGGGGCCTCCTGGGACTGTGCCCCGGACCTCTGGCGGGCCCGGGTGGGGGCGAGGGGGGTGTCCCCGCGAGGTCCGAGAAGAAGGGAAGGGGAGCCGGGAGCCTCTCCCGCTCGGCCTCCTGGAACTGCCCGCGCTCCCGGAGCGGCGCCCCCGCCTCTGCCAGAAACCGGCCTTCTTAGAAGGAGGGGGGAAAGTGTGAATGAGAAGTTGGGGGCGGAGCGCGCGCGGGGGAGGGGCCGCTGCCAGGAACGCGCCGCCGGGGCTGGCGCCGCGCCCGCCGGCTGCCCTGCGTCGCTGCGCTTTGTCTGCGCGCTCGTCTCTGCCGGTCCCTGGCGTGGCCCGCGGCCCGCCCTCGGCCCGGGCCCCTCCCTCGCCCTCCGCGCGCGGCCTTTCATTGCTGCGAGTAGTGACTAAACATTACAAGAAGGCCGGCCGCGCAGTTCCAGGAATCGGGGGGGGCGGGGCCCGGCGGCCGCGTATATACCCGCGAGCGCGGCCTCCGCC